ACAGCTCAACATGGACCATGGTATTGATGGCTTTAAACAGGTATTACAAAATTGTAAAGCCAGCGAAATACCAATCTGTTTTTACAAAGAAGTTCATCATTTCCACAGCATTAGCGGTGTGGGCTACACTTATTGTTCTTTCTCTTGTCTGTGTGCTCGCATTTGGTTTTCCCAACCATGTGTGTCCAGCCTTTGCGTTGCCTTTGTCAGCTTATGGAATGCCAATTGCTCTGCCAGCTTTGTTATTTATTACGTATTTTCCATATCCTGTCTTTGCTTTCTGTTACTGGAAAGTTTACAGTGCTGTTAAGATGCACAATGGAAATCTTTCATGGCAGAGTGCAAATGTAGAAGACGTTAGAGTCAGCAAAATCCTCTTTATTACCGTTGTTGGCTTTGTCAGCCTCTGGTTGCCGTCTCAAACCATCTACTTGGTGTCCTATTATGTGAGGCTACCACGCCAGCTCGCACTTCTCGCGACCCTTTCTGTTTTCTCATCTAGTTTCATAAACCCTTTCGTTTATGGTTTTATGAACCGTTCATTCAGGAACGAATTCAAAAAATGCTTGAGCCTGAAAAAAAAGCAGTCAATAAGCATGGAATCGGGTCCGATATAAAGGACGAATCTTCTTTGGCTTGATTACGATTTAACAAAAATATATCGAAGATTATATGGACGATTTGATTGGGGCCTTGAGCTACGTATTGCTTTTAATTCCAAGCACTCGCCGATCAACGGTATTGTTAGTTGTATTGTACTATTTATATTTGGGAGCTTCTCAACGTGGAAAAACAGTGTAACTACCGCTTTTACAAGTGAGAACTTTCAAAATATGTTTTTCTTTGTATTGCCATAAGTCCGGCATCATTCAATATGCATTTAGTTGCAAATCTCGTGGTTTGGTCCATGTCTGGTTTATAAGTAGTTTTAAACTTCCCAACTAAGAGCAACCCTCAAGCTTAATTAACTAGTCAGTGTAGAAATTAAGATGGCCGCATTTGGCGATGAATAATAGCATTCTCTCCAATTATCTCGTGAACTGTAAATTTTTTAGTTTTTTTTTCTTTTTTTTGTTTTTGCACTTAGCTATGGGTTGATGCCGCACTTAGCTATAGGTTGATGCCGCACTTAGCTATGGTTTGATGCCGCATTCAGTTTCCTGTCACCTTTAGATGAATAAAAGCCCAAAGGAAATTTTGTGACTTGAGTTCATAACAACACTTTTCAATTTCAATGCCTAAGGTTCAGTGGAAATGGAATTTTGTGATGTATAAGCAAACGTAGGGTTCTTAGATTCTGGCATATTTCGTTGCGTTATCTTTAAAGGAGGATTATAAGTCTGATAGAAGCAGCACTCAGTATTTACAGGAATAAGGGTGTATATCTGTACGTTGTAACTTCCACTTGTTAAGAAACTGTCTCAGATTCCAGTAGTGTGTCACGATTATATCCAGCAAATAGTGAGTAGTATTAGAGTAGTTAAGAAGGAAATTTTACGAGAGAAACAAGCATTATTCGAGACAGTGACTCACAGGGAACGTCAGTATAAAATTTGAAAATATACTAGTTCCAGCTATCAATTAAGGTGCTTTTCCTTATTTCCTGTTATGAACAATACCACTTGGCAAAATTTCCATTTTAATTACTCTGTAGCTATAAATTAATATTTGGTTGGGCTGAAAGTGTCCCGCTGATGTGATTTCATATGAGAAAAAAATTGACAGCTTTCAAACGTAATGACTTTTCATGTACATACACTCTAAAAGTGGGTCTGTAAATTACATTTTAGAGTAAACAACAATTCGTCGACTTAAAAGAAAACACAGACCGCAATTTTCAAAGCGAACAATGATCGGTGATGGCTCTGTTTTCACCGTGCTCAAAGGATAGAAAAACATAGCAATATGGCAAGAAAGCTAACAATAGCACGCTTTTAAGTCTTAGTTGATAAAGCGGATGTTTACTTAGTGATGAGACAAAATTGACTCAGGTTTTGAAGCAGATGTTTTGTGCTACACTGACTTTCTTTAAAGTAATACGACAATCGAAACATTATTTCATCCTTACAGCCGAAGCAAACAGCTCGGGTGAAATACTTGAAAGGTCGCCCTCTTCACGAAGGCGTTTTGAAGGACCAACCACTCGTCAAAGCTGAGAACTCTGTTCCAAATTCACTAGAGTTTCAACCACCCACACAAAAAGACAAGCAAAGGGAAGGGAACTTGACTAGTGAACATGGAGCAAAGGAACACTGCAACCGTGCTAATTGAGACTGGTTTATTTACTTTGGTAATGGTTCTATCCTTTCTTGGAAATCTCATGGTCTGCCATGCTGTACGCAGAAATCCAAGACTGCGTTGTCCGAGAAACTACTACATCATTTCTTTGGCGCTGACCGACATTTTCCAAGCTGTGCTAGTAATCCCTCTATCTGTTTTCCTATTAGCTATGGGATTGTGGCCGTTTGGAACGCGCATGTGCTACTTCGCTGCAGTTACAAAGTTGTCTTTGTCCAAAATCTCAATATTAACAATGGCACTGATGGCGTTGAACAGATATTACAAGATAGTACGGCCAGCAAACTACCAAAGTATATTTACAAAGAAGTTCATTGTTTTAACTGCATCAGCAGCGTGGGTAGCACCAGTTTTGATAGCTCTTATTTTTGCCTTGGTTGCCGACTCTGAACCTGGGGGAGACCTAACTTTCGCAACTTGTAGTTTAGATTTTCAGACGTACGTTGTACCAGTTTTGATAGGTATCATGTACTTGCCCTATATTGTTATTGTGTTCTGTTACTGGAACATTTATCGCGTCGTTAGGAATCATAATGCTAATATTTCGTGCAGAGTGTAAATGTCGAGCATGTTAAAATTACCAAAACACTTCTGGCAACTGTTGTTTGCTTCGCCATTCTTTATGTGCCTTCTCATGGAATATTTGTAGCGTTTATTTCGGGTGGTGACCCTCCTCGTCAGCTTAAAGTTATGGCTACCTTTCTAGTCTTTACATCTTGTTGTGTAAATCCTTTCATTTATGGTTTCATGAATCGGGCATTTAGGCACGAATTCAAGAAAATCTTGACAACAAAAAGTAATCATGCGATTGCTTCAGATTCTGGTTCCGCACAAAATTAAGCTCGCTAGTCATTTTCTCTCAAGAGTATGAATTAGTTTCTCAGCAAAGGTGGAATAAATTTGGAAAAATGGCTGAAAAATTAAGAAGAAAAAAAACAGGTTACGGTGCTTTAAGATGCCCCAGACATGGACAGCTTTGGTGTGCAGCGGATAGTTACGTAATACTATAATTACTGATCATTGATATTAGAGAACTTAGTGAATAGTGGCACCATTTTAATCACCTAGAATGTACATACAGATGAAATTCCTTCGACAGTGTTAAAAGGAAGCTGCTGATAGTTGATTTCTGTAATCGTTCCATTTCAGGCTTAAACAGATGCTTGGGCAAAAGAGTTCGAGTGCATGCACCTTTACCTTTTCAAAATCTTTGTTAGGGTCGATTGTTTTCTCAAGAAAATCGATTTAAACTGATCGCGCAAGCACAAGTTTCCCCGTGATATATCTAATGAAATCTTTGAAAATGAAAACTTGTAAATTTCCACTTAAATTTGGGGTGAGATATTAAACATTAAATTCATCCTTCCCTACCCCCCTCCAAGAAGAGGCGACGACCCTCATGACTTTAGTAAGTACCCTCTAACATAATCGTAATGGTGCGGCAATTAAAAAAAAAGGGCAAGGTTTTACGAAAATCCTAGAAAGATTATTGTGTGGAGCAACGAAAAAACCTTTGAAAGAAAAGTATGAAAACAGATTCATATTCGCAGAACAAATCATCAAATACGAGTCAATTTTTGAAAAGAAAATGGTTGCATATGTTATATTACTTCAAGGCATGTAAATATAACCCAAAAACAAATCAATATTAAGCGTAATGTATAGTGTTTTTTGCGCACAGAGGGACCACTGTAAGACCGCTGTCAGATACAACTACTGTAAGGCTATTACTTAGACTCTATAGCTGGAGTTACATAATACTAACAGCGCTGACAATTTAATTTTTAAAATATTACAATTGTATTGATTCTAATTGGGATATGCAAGTAAACATTTGTTGCCTTCATCGAACAAGAGTTAAGATGAGTGTATACAAACGCATGTTTATTGTTGGGACTATCTTGAGCCTAACTAAACAAATAAATCATCTATATCGATCAGTATACAATAGTTTCTACCGTTCTTGTTTTGCGTCTGGATTTACCTCATAAATATAAATCCTTTACACTTATGACACATGGTCACCCTGTTTTATTTTGTTGTTTGTTTATCAGATTTATTTACTTGTTCAAGAGACTAAGGCAAATGGCAGAATTTGAAGTTATGTACGATTTGCTCTCCTATTCCTGCCTAGCCTCGCTGTGTAGGCTTCTTTCACACTATTTGGACATCACCCCCAGTTTGGCTGGAAAATTTTGGACATACATAGTCTCTGAGTTTTCTTTTACTACTGTGCCATACTGGAGATTTCCATGCGTGAATAACTAACCTTTTTTTCACCAATTCTTTTTAAAATTTTTATCATCGGAAGTTTCTGTTACCGTTAGTTAGCTCATGAATTTTTAATTAAGATTCTTCAGTTGCCGCTCTTCTTAATTAGATGCAACATTACAGTCAATTGTAACAGTGGAAGGGGAAAAAATTGTGAAACAGAAGGAGAGGAAAAATTGTGTAACATAGAACTGAAGGTGGAAAAATTGTGATGTACATCCATACTTTCTGTTTAAGTGGCAGTTTTTGCGTCTTCCCGAGGACAGCAAAAGTTATTGCTTCACCAAGTCAATGTGATCATTCAAACAAAACCAGTCTATCTCTGATTGGATTCTTTTATTTACATTTACTTCTAATTTTATTCAATGTTTATCCCCTGTCTCCGTTTGTAAGTGTAGTACCAATCTAACAGGAAACGAGGTTTGATAGTTTTTTGTAGACAAGGGCTCATCCTCTCTTGATCGACTTGATCATGCGCACTTTTGATACAAATCCTTCTGTTAAGATTAGTTCACAAGGAAAAAAATGCTTTTAATGTTCTGGTCTTTTTACGTGTAGCAACTACGTTTTTTAAATACGTGAAACTGCCCTCTTAAGATGATAATAGTGGAATCCTATACTGTTTCCACATACCCTTTCAACTAAAATCAGGCTTCTTATTTTATGGCTATTAATAATTATTAAAAGCTAGATCATTGGATAATGCAATTCAAGACTTTTTATTGGCTTAGCCATTATGGTATATCAGCCAATATACCATAGTATACAAATATGGTAAGCGTACGTGTCAGCTTAAAATTAAAAGGGAGCTAAAAATCTAATAAAATTTAATAATTTAATTCAACGTTTTAATAAAACAATTATTCCACTCGCGCTTGTTGGATATGAGATGATTATAGCCAACTCGGCGCTACGCGCCTCGTTGGCTATCTATCATCTAATATCCAACGCGCTTGTGGAATAATTGTTAATTATAAAAAAAAACTTGATCATTAATGCAACTCATTGTTGCAATTCAAGACTTTTCATTCGCTTAGCTATCATGGTTTATGATTAACGACACAATTATTCCCTTCGCGCTTGTTGGATATGATATGATAATTGCCATCTATCGTCTCATATCCAACACGCACTCATGGAACAGTTGTTGAATATATACTACATATTTACTTGGTATAACTAAAGATTCAACGAAACTTTAC